GTTTTAGTATGGGGGGTATCACTCTGCAGTGCTTTGGGTTTTCTCCTGGCTTTGGGCTCAGGAATCATTCCTGGTGTTGCTTGGGAGACCATATCTGGCATTGGGATCTGCCTCAAGGAAGCAAGTGCCCTACTAGCTGAACTATGGCTCTGGCCTATCCTAAAGCATATCTAATTAAGCTCTAAATGGCCTCCTCCTACATGGAAGAACTATGCTACGATTCCATAATAAGATTTTTGTCTTTGCAATTAATACCTGTATTTCTGGGGTCCTATCCTCAGGTCTCCCGAATGTCCTATAGTTTCTAACTTTTTTTTTTGCTTTTTTTTGGGGGGGGGGGTCACACCCAACGTTGCACAGGGTAGACTCCTGGCTCTTGTACTCAGGAATTACTCCTGATGGTGCTCAGGGGATCATATGGGATTTGGGGAATCGAACCAGGGTCGATTGCATGCAAGGCAAATGCCCTACCTACTGTGCTATCACCCCAGCCCCAATTTATAACTTTCTAAAAATATTTTTTTCATACTAGGCTGGAATCCAGGGCCTCATACCTGGGAGTCATGTGCTGTCCTGAAGCTCCTGGTCCTGCCTGGGACCTCCCGGGGAAGCTTTGCAATGTTTTGGTTGGCTTGATTCTTGAAGCATGGTGTTTCCTGTCATTTCAGTCAAAACCTTGGTGACACATTTCGTTTCCAAATTTTTTATTTATTTGATTTAATTAGAGGCACTGTGACTTACAATACTGTTCATGGATGCGTTTCATGCATACAATGACCCAACCCCACAATCTCCACCAGAGTATCCACTTCCCTCCACCCTTGTTTCAGGGTCACCCCTTCTTCATCATACCCCTCTAGCCCCTTTCCCAGTCCCCTTTTCTGTAGTAAGCCCAGTTCTATCGACCAGTTCTCAGGTTCTGTTACTTTTGGCATTGTTATTCTCCTACTATGTTTCTTTATATCCCATATATGAGAGGGATCAGTCTGTGTCTGTCCTCTTTGGGCTGATGTCACCCAGTGTGATACTTTCCAGATCCATCCACATAACAGACAATTATATGGTACAGAGAACTTCTTTCTTATGGCAGTTATGAGAAAAAAAAAACTGTCCTGAGAAATAATACTTCCTAATAGTTTTTAATTTCTGATGGTATCCATGAGAAAACATTTGTTTCACACACACACACACACACACACACACATATACACATGTCAGTTACCAACACACATACATACACACACAAATGAATACAAAAAAGAAAAGAAAACTTTTACTTTTATCTGGACAAAGCAGAACATACTGTTTTGCAATGAACAGTCATTAGTGGGCTAAGGCTGCAGCTCAGAGGATGGGAGCTGATACACTTGCTGTGTGTGTGGCTCCAGGTTCCATCTTGACTGTGTGGACCAAGCACCATGGTGCTGCAACCTTGGACTCAGCAGCAAACTGTGAGGCCAGGACCATTGACTGGCACCAGGGACCCCAGCGCAGCTGAGAATGCTACGAAACCAACTGAGATCATTTTCTGACCACCTCTATATGGTGAGAATGAAGAACTTGATATAGACTTGAAGAAATCATCACAGTGACTGTGCCTGGACACAACTCATGCTGTTAGTCAGAACATTTGAGAAGGGCAGAGACCCTACTGCCCTGGAGATGCTGTCACTGGAATAAATTACACCACAACATCCTGAAAAAAAAAAAACAACCCTTCATTGTTTTTAATCAACTCTTTGGGTCTATCTAGTGGTTGATGCACCAAGGGGTGAATTTTGTGCATTTAGACCCAGCCTCAAAGAAACAAAGTAGCAACTGACCCAGATTTGTATTACTCCCCTGAACTGTCAGAATGTTCTAGAGATCATTTGCTTCACTTTCACCTCAACAGCAGGGATCAAGATTTAGATGGCAAAGGCAGTGGACCTCTAGGGCTGGAGAATCAGGCCGACCCTTCTGGAGATCACGTGTGTCTCATTGTTGCGCTACTCTCCCCAGGCTCCCAGGTTTCTGCCCCTGCCATGTCATTGCCTCAGCCGCAAAGAAAAAAATGCAAGCACCCAAAGTTGGGTGAGAGCAGATGAAAACAATCCACAAGAAACAGAATATTATTTAAAAAAATAAATAATTAATAAATTATATAATTTTTAAAAAACTCTTTTAAATAAAGGAGTAATACTTTGCCTGAAAAAAAAAAAGAAAGAAAAGAAACAGAATATTGCCCTGCAAGTCTCGGGAAAGAAACAAGTAGTTCCAAAACATTTTTTTGTTTGTTGAAGGCTCAGCAGACCAGAGAAAATTATGAAGGTGCCAAGTGAAGTTCGAGCTCAAAACTCACTGGTGAGACTACTCAGCAGAATAGATTTTTCTTTTGACGTAAAACAGGTTTTATTGGAGGGTTTTGGAAGGGGAGGACAGAGGGAAAACATTCTCTCTTGAGAGAATGCAGGCTTCTCCAGGGTGGAGAGAGCTTTAGAAATACCCCATTATTAGATATGGGAGCATGAAAGTACACATCTCGAGAGGAGAGATGCAGGCGACACATTTGTTTGGGTGCCACATGTGCTTAGCCATGTGGGCACAAGCAGCACATAGGTTCAGGCAGCATATGTGCCAGAATAGATTTTTCACCTCAGCATCACCCTTCATGAGTCCTGTTCTGCCTTGCCCTCCCCACACTTTCTTTCTCCCTTCCTTAGGGATCACTCTGGTGGTGCTCAGAAGGATTATAGGCATTATTAGGAATCCAACCTGAGTTGGCAACATGCAAGGCAAGTGACATAATCCCTATATTATCTCTCTGACCCAGATCCTACGCTTCATGCAGTAGTATTTTAGGAGAGATGGACACCAAATTATTGGTTTACAATTAAGAGCCTTTGTGTGCTGATTTTGGCAAGAACAGTCTTATACACAGAAAGAGCCATAATACTTTATTTAAAATATATACAAAATTATTACTTTGAGATATGTATATTAATGTATATTTTTGCTTGACATACATCATGTAACACTGACTGGTGAGCATTTTGGTTCTTTCATTCATGGGTGTTTATGATTTCTGTTCTACTCAGAGCCCTATCAGTAGCATAATCCCTTCAATGCCTATTCAAGGGTTTCCTGCTGGCCTGGTTTCCTTGAAGCTCTAGCTCTGCAGCTGGGCCCTTTGACCTCACTCTTTCTCATCTAGGTAAGAGAGAAGGTGAGAAAAGTGTCTACTTTTAAGTTCTTTTTTGGGGGTCACACCCAGCATTGCACAGGGGTTACTCCTGTATTTTAAGTTCTTTTGCTTTTGCAGGGGAGTGGGGCAGAGTTTGAACCATACCTGACTGTGTTCAGGGATTATTCCTGGCTCTAAGCTTAGAGATCAGACCTAGCAGGGCTCTAGGGACCATAGAGGATCTGGCCTAGATTCATGTGAATATCAATGTCTCCTTGACCCTGCTTTCTTCCCTGCATTCAGCTCCAGTGCCCCAGGATGAAAACTGTTGAGCATCAGAAAATGTTTGGTAAAAGCTCCAAAATGAAATGAAAGAGAACAAGGGGAGTGTCTTGAGTTTTTGTGCCATGTTTGAGTCACTGTTATCCTGAAAGAAGTTGCTGGCTCAGGGCACAGCTGCCTCCCCACCCATTCACTACCTACCTATGCATGCAGTGCTCACATCATAAATTTCCCTTTATGGATGAATACACCTTGGCACAGGATCTGGGGCATGAGCAGAAAACACCCATTTTAGAATTAGAGTGTTTGGGGTCTATGGAAGGGGTACTGAGAATCTCCCCAACCTGACTCCTGACCGAGGTGGAAGAGGCCTGGGAGACACAAACACATCAGACAATAGTTTCTTGACAGAGTTAGACTTGGAAACCAGATTTTTCCAAAAAAATTAAAAAAAAAATCTCTTCTTTTTCTATTAGAAACTGAAGAAAGCTTCAGAGACTAAGGGCACGCTCAGCGGGAAAGGATCATCCTGTGTGAGATGGACATAGATATACCCAGGGACAGCACAAGCCAAAGTTTCCGGATGATTCCAGCCTGGCCTGGGCCCAGGACTACCAGGCATGGAGGTTGCAAGCCTGTCAGGGTTCATCAGATTCCCATGGATCCAAATGAGGTAGGAGGGATGCAGGGATCCATGGGCACTGTCACCCCTGCCACAGCCACAGCATTGAAGGTCCCTGGTGGCACTTGAGGCCTGGGCCCCAGGGTGACCGAGGGGTCATGTAAACGAGTCCCCGTGGCCTTCTTCACCCTGCTCCACTCTGCAGGAAGGTGGCATAGGGTGAGCATGAGAGGGAGCGAGTGCCTCAGGGCAGGAAGGGGCATGCCAGGGAGGTTTAAGGATGGAGGGAGCTTCTAAAGGGGGGGGGGGGGAGGTTGGATGAGAGCATGGACAAGGGAGGTGAGTGCACTGGGGGGGGGGGGGGTACCTTGGTGTCTCTGAGCCTCTCGCAGAGTGTCTACCGGATGCTGAGTGCAGGGACTCCCTCTGCTCCCAGCCAACTTTGGTATTGAGAAAGGATGATTTGGCACAATCTGATATGCATCTCTGAACCCCACGGAAGGACCTCCCATGCCTGCTCCTGCACCATCCACTGGCAGCCCTTGGAAGTGCACTGGCATCAAGGAACAAGATGGCAGCAAGGAGTAGCACGGCCCCCAGGAGAGGACCCAACCTAGGTCACCTCCATGCACCCGACATTGTTGAGTTTTCCATAAGCATATTGCAAGCAGCTCATTCTCCAATCCCCACCCGCCTCCCTCTTGGCTCCCCTGTTCTTCCCCACTTCTGACCCCCCTCTGCACCTCACCCTCCCCTCACTGTCCTCAACATCCCTGTCCCCTTGCTGTGTTTCTAAGCCCTAAATGAACACACCCACGAGTTACAGCTGGCCAGGCAGCCAGCGAGTGAGCATGGGGTGCATGTGTGGTCACAGCCAGTGCCATGGAGGAGGGACATGGTAGCCTTTGGAGGGGAGGGGGACAGACACTCCCCCTACACAGAAGACTGGTTCTCACTACAAACATAGATGGTGCCAGGCTGGATTCTCCTCCGGATGCGCTCAGGCACTTTGGGGAGGATCTGGAAGGTGGGAGGCAGCAGCTCGAAGCAGGCCTCGCGGAACTTCTTGATCCTCCAACAGTAGACGATGGGGTTGAAGACGGACTTGAGGTAGCTGAGCCACAGAACACAGGAGCTGGCGGTGTAGAAGGAGGCGCTGCAGTAGAAGCTCTGGCTGAAGACCGACAGGAGGCTGTAGATGGTGTGCGGCAGCCAGCAGAGAGAGAAGCCCACGAAGAGGATGAGGATGGTGGTGAAGGCCTTGGTCTTGAAGCTCAGGTCCAGGCTGGCCAGTTGCTGGCGCTGCAGCCGCCGCAAGCCCGACCGGGGCAGGCGCCGCAGGTCCAGAGTGTCGGACTGGTTGTGCACGCGCACCGCGTTCCTGCGCACCGTATGCAGGATGCACAGGTAGGCGTAGAGCATGACCCCGAAGGGCACGAAGAACACAGCCACCGCCAGCGTCAACACGTAGGCGCGGCCCGCCTGGGACTCTGAGTAGCCCAGCACGCACTGAGGCGCCCGTGCGGGCACCTCCACCAGCGTCCAGCCGGCCAGCGACGGGGCGGACAGACAGAAAGACAGAGCCCAGGATACCGCGATGATGGCCTTGGCCCTGCGCGGGTTCAGCTTGTCCTGGCGCTGCACGATGATGAGGAAGCGGTCCACGCTGATGATGAGCAGCACGGCCACTCCCTCCAGCACGAAGAACCAATACAGGGTGGCCGACAGCCGGCAGAAGCGGTCCCCAAAGCGCCACTGGACGGTGAGCAGGGTGACGGCAGTGAAGGGCAGGCAGCACAGGGATAGCATGATGTCTGAGAAGGCCAGCGTGGCCAGCAGCAGATTGATGGCCGAGCGCATGGCCGGCCTCTGGTACACGATGATGCACACCACGGCATTGCCCAGGAGCCCCACCACCATCATCAACAGCATGGCCACCGCCAAGGAGATCCTCAGGGGGGCCGAGGCGGTGGCCACCCCATAATCCGACATGTTGCTGCCATTCAGCAGTAGGGACTCATAGTTGTTGGGAGCTGTACCATTACAGGCCATTTTGGACAGAAGCAGGGAGTCTACCCAGACCCGGAAAAGGCTCCTAGAGTGTCCAGGGGCTGGGGATCTGGGGTCTGGTCTGCACACCCCCCCACAGGCCACTTTGGGTCCTGGGCACTAGACAGCCAGAAGTGTCTGTGCTCAGGGCTGTAGTCCAGATGGGCAGTTTCATCCATCACAGGCTCATTGTCACTTCAGATGCACCCAGTTTCAAGCCTGATCATACTTGGTAGTCTAGAGACAGGAGAACATAAAACAACAACAACAACAAAACAGAACAAAACAAAACAAAAACAAAGAAAGAAAAAGAAAGAAACAAGGAAATGAGACATTTTATAAGTATTTAGTGGAGCAGATTTCCATTTTGAGGCATTCTCAACACTAGCATGGCCAGAAAAAAATGAAACATCCTCATTGAACATTTGGGGCAAAGGGTGGGTACCTGAGTGGGTAGCCCAGGCAAATTCAACTACATCTCTTAAAGAAGTGAATACATCATAATCAATATTCATGCCATAGGCCTGTATTTAGTTTTAAGCAATCTGACCCATTGAAGTTTTGGGCAAGTCAAATTCCATTAGAATCTCGACATCCTAGGGGCGGTTTTGTCTGTTGTTCTCTGCTGTATCCGAGCACCTGCAACAGTGCTTGCCTGGCACATAGAAGATGCTCAATCGATATGTCTAAAAGACTATAGATGTACGCATATAGTGGTTTGGGATCCATACTGGTAGTGCTGGAGGATGCTTAAGGTTCTGTGCTCAGGAGACCATGTGATGCTGGGAAACAAATTTAGGCCTAATGCATGAAAATCATTTATTTCATCCCCTTTTTGGAGCCTTCTTTCTGGTCCAAACTATTCAATTATTCAGTGCTAGAAATTGTTTATTTTTAATTTGGGGTCATACCTGGCAATGCTCAGTGATTATGCCTGGCTTTGAACTAGGGAATAACTCCTGGTGGTGCTCAGAGGACCAAGTGGGGTGGTAAAGATCAAACCTGGGTTGGCCGTGTGCAAGGTGACCAAGAGAGTCTTACCCGTAGTACTATCTCTCCAGCCCTTCCGTGCTACACATTGAACTCAGGTCCTCATGCATGCAAGGCACTTAATCTTCCACTGAATTACACCCTCAGCAGCTCAGTTGTCAGAGATAGTCCAGAAAGATTCTATATATCCTTTCCTCAGTTTTCCTGCATGGTAAGGTTTTGAATAACTGTAGTGCTGCTGTACTATTCGTTTTGGATAGGTTGACTGAAAAGAGGAAATGATCCCTCTTTCAAAGTCTGTGTTCATTATTATTTTGTTTCTCACAGATATGGCAAGTACAGAATCCAGAAGCAGATTCTGGGTGAAATCTGGTCTCCATATTTATCTATTATGGTCACAGTCTGCTTTACTCCTGCTGGTTTGACATTCTGGTCTGTAAGGTACAAATAATAAGGTAAAGGTAAAGGCCCTCCCGTTGATCGTCGATTTGCTCGAGCGGGCCCAGTAACGTCTCCATTGGAGACTTTTGTTGTTACTGTGTTTGGCATATCGAATACGTCACGGGGAGCTTGCCAGGCTCTGCCGTGTGGGCGAGATACTCTCGGTAGCTTGCCGGGCTCTCCGAGAGGGGAAGTGCTTGCCCCACATGCAGCCAACCAGGTTCCACTCCCTGATAATAATCCACTCCCTGATAATAATCAGGCTTAAATACAGAGATTCTGAGCACAGTAGACAGAAGAATACCCAGACAAGTTTTACTTTGTCTGCCCATGACAGCACCCAATGACAGCACTTAACTATTACAATGTGAGCCCTTGCAGGCCCCAGATACAGTACAGGGCTTAAGGCACTTGACTTGAATCCTGCTTACCCTGTTAGAATCCTCACCACCACATCTGTCTCCTAAGCACTTCCAGGGGTCACTCCTGATCACAGAGCCAGGAACAGCCCTTGAGCACTGCTGGGTGTGGCCCCAAATCCAAATCAATCAATCAATCAATCTGTCACTGTCACTGTCCTCCCTTTGTTCATTGATTTGCTTGAGCGGGCCCAGTAACATCTCCATCATGAGACTTTTTGTTACTGTGTTTGGCATATCGACTACGTCACAGGTAGTTTGCCAGGCTTTGCCATGCTAGCGAGATACTCTCGGTAGCTTGCCGGGCTCTCTGAGAGGGGCGGAGGAATTGAACCTGACTCGGCCTGCCTGGCTGCGTGCAAGGCAAACGCCCTACCGCTGTGATATCACTCCAGCCCAATCAATCAATGTACAAATAAAATATAATTTGAGCCCTGAGCCAAACCCATTATAATGTTACAATGGGAACTGTTTTTTATCTATGCTGTATACGAGCAGAGCTGTCTCTATGTTAGATCTTGCCCACAGGAGAAGCAGCTGTTGTAGAGACTGTTCAACTTAACAACCATTTGACTAATGTTTTCCAACTTAATGATGGTGTAGAATTGTAATAATAGAAGTATCCCGTGGAAGTCATATTTCAAATTTTGACTCTTGAGTGTCTCCACAGGCTGCAGACATGCTGTGCAATACTCTCTCATGGTGGTGGAACATGGCAGCATGTGGCAACTCTTAGCTACATAATCAGCCATGAGGGAAAACCATGCATAGGGGTATGCTGTGTTGTCCTTGTCTATTGAATATCATATCATGTTTTTTGTCTTTTCAGTCCAATGTGCCCTCAAAACACCCATCTGAACCTGAGAACATCAATGTTTTATTATAAAATAAGTTTTGTGTTAACCAGTGAGCGATAGCATAGCGGGTAGGGCATTTGCCTTGCACGCAGCCAACATGGCCGACCCGAGTTCGATTCCTCCGCCCCTCTCGGAGAGCCCGGCAAGCTACCGAGAGTATTCGATATGCCAGACACAGTAACAACAAAGTCTCCAATGGAGACGTTACTGGGCCCGCTCGAGCAAATCGACGATCAACGGGAGGGCATTTACTTTACATTTACTTTACAAGTTTTGTGTTGAAAAATTTTGACAACTGCAGGTTGAGGTAAGTATTCTGAGGTGTGCTGGGGAAAACTCTGATGGTCAGCAAGTCAGGCATATTAAATGCAGTTTTCAACTTACAATGGGCTAATCACATGTAACCACATCCTAGGTTGTGGAAGGTCAAGGAAGCTGTGCTCCCTCGCCACACCTTTATTCTCAATCATTTCTAGCATAAGTGATTGGATCAGGAAACTAATCTCAGAGTGGCTTAATTTAGAGCTGCCCAAATGATAGGGAGTTGAAAGACTCAATAACTCAACAGAAATTTGGAACTAGGAAATGCCAGTGACCAAAGTGGCAATTGAAGACAGGATAAGGGATGGATCCATAGGTGTAGCCAAGTCCACAAGAATGAGTTGGATACTCTACTTACTGCTCAGACTCTCCTGGCTGCTTTGTACCCAGCCCCTGCAGGACCCTGTGGGAGGAGAGAGAAGTGAAGTCTTCCTTGTGGTGTAGATACTACCTAAACTCTCTCCTACATGAGTCCGTACTGATACCAGGGTTTCTGGCAAATGGAAGCCCCCAGAAAGCAGAAACTAATAGTAACCAGGCATCATGAGATCGAGAAAGGTTGGGAACAGAAAGACAGGGAACTCTCCCATTTCTGGGAGGGTTGACTTTCCCTCTATATCTTTACAGTGCTTACTTGTCTCTTTGTTTGTTTCTGATTGAATTTTTTTTCTCAGAGAGCCCGGCAAGCTACTGAGAGTATCTCGCCCGAACGTATTCGATATGCCAAACACAGTAACAACAAAGTCTCCAATGGAGACATTACTGGGCCCGCTCAAGCAAATCGATGATCAACGGGAGGGCCTTTACCTTTACCTTTTCTTTTTGTATCCTTTTTCTTGGTGTTGGGCTGAGCAATAGCACAGTGGGTAGGGCATTTGCCTTGCACGTGGCCGACCTGGGTTCGACTCCTCTGTCCCTCTCGGAGAGCCTGGCAAGCTACCAAGAGGATCCCGTCCACATGGCAGAGCCTAGCAAGCTCCCCATGGTGTATTCGATATGCCAAAAACAGTAACAACAAGTCTCACAATGGAGATGTTACTGGTGCCCGCTCGAGCAAATCGATGAACAATGGGAGGACAGTGCTGCAGTGCAGTGCTTCCTTGGTGGTGCAGTTGCCAAGTGCTACTCAGGCTGGGGCTTCTCCCAGGGATCCTTGGACAAGCTGTTTTCAATGATCAGCCGCAGCAGTGCTGGGGCCACCCCAGTGCTACCTCTGGAGGTGTTTGGAGGGGTCTCATGGTGCTGGGGCTGAGATTCGAGCTTTATGCATGCCTGGCATGAGGTGCCAATCCCTGAACCCTCCCGACCCATTCATCAATCTCTAGTCCAGCCTTAGCCTTCCCCATGTCTCGGGGACACTCTCTTTGACTTTAAAGGAAGATTTTCTCATGTTGATTTGGCTGGCAGATGCCCCACTAGTCTGGATATTTAACAGATTCCTTGTATTTTAAATTTACTCATTTGAGACATTTTTGTTAGCCTGGATATATGCCAGATGAGGGTTTAGCCTACTTTACTTCATTTAGCTTCACCTCATTCCTCTCTTCCCATTGACAGATGACTTGTCAATTTTGAAACAATGTACCTAAGCTTCCACTGTAACTATAAAAAAGATACAGTTGTCTCTCACCTTATCTGCAGTTTCATTTTCACTAGTATTGGTTACCTGTGGATCAACCACAGTCCCAACATATTATATATGATCAGATAATTTGAGAAAGAACACATTCATATTGTTTTGTTGTTTTGGGGGGCCACACCAATTGGTGCTCAGGGCTTAATCCTGGCTGTGCCCTCAGGGGTCACTCCTACTCAGGCTCGAAAACCACATGGTGCCAGAGATTAACTCATGCATCCCAAGCATCTAAGCAGAGGTACAGAACACTCAAGATGTTCTCCTCTCCTGCAGGTGAATAATAGTACCTGTAAACATAAGCTTCGGTGATTGGCAATCTGAGAAGAAAGCAATCTTTTTCTTGGTCTTCTAAATAGGAAAATTCTAGGAAGGACCCCAAATACCCTCCAGGCCAGATTTTTGCTTCAGGCTGTAGGTACAACAGCCCCACCAAGACAGGGTTGTTCCCCAGAGGAACCCTGCCCCAAGGGACCATCCCAGGATTGAGCTCAAGGAACAAAAATCTAACTGCTCAAGCCAAGGGCTAAGTAGTTCTTTTGGAATTTTTTTTTTACACAAACATTTTTATTTTTT